TCCACGCTTCCCCATCTCTGCAGTCAGACAGAACCATGTGACTCAGCCCAGCCAATGAGCTAGAAGGGGAAGTTATAGTGAGGTGCTTCTTAGTCAAGGAAGTGAAAGACTGCAGTTAGTTACATGCCTGTCCTTATGAGGGAGAGAGGACATTGAGGGGTCCGGTTGTGCACCCCTAAAATTCACTTGTCAAACTTTAACTTTCATTTCCCAGAATAGGGCTATATTTAGAATCGGGGCCATTGCAGATACCATTAGTTAAGTTTGGGTGAAGTCACACTGGAATAGAGCAGGCTCCCACTCCAAACCAACAAGTGCGTGTGTAAGAGGCAAAGTTGGACAGACACACTCTGGTGTCAGGGATCAGAGCTTTGCTGAAGGCAGCTGAAGAAGCTCCAGGGGTAGGAGAGAGGCCGGGACACCTCCCTCCTGGGACCTTCTGAGGGAGCATGCACTGCTTGCACTTTGACCTTGCACTCCCCAGTCTCCAGAACTGGGGGTAGTGTGTGTGTGTGTGTGTGTGTGTGTGTGTGTGTGTGTGTGTGTGTGTGTGTGTGTGTCACAGTCTTGTTGCACATGCTTCTCAGTGTGCGGCACTGGGTAAGGGGAGCTGTGGGAACTGAAGGAAGGCCACATTGTCAGGCTGTCAATCTACAAGGGTCAATGAGTCACATGGTCAGAAGAGCATTTGACCTTCAGCAAACTTTAAAAAAGGGTAAGAAAAACACCTAGGGGCTGTGAGATGTCTCAGTGGGCAAAAGTGCTTAGCCACCAAGGCTGACATCCTGAATTTGATTCCCAGGACCCACATGGTGGAAGGAGATGAGTTATTTCTAAAGGTTGTTCTCTGTTCTCCATATATGTGCTGTCACACACACACACACACACACACACACACACACACACACACACACACACACACCACACCACACCACACATGGGTGTGTTAGTAAATAAACATAATTTTTAAAAAGAAAAATACCCAAGACCTAGAAAGAACATAGATGTCCTTTTGATATTACACCGGACATTGTTTAACAGGTCCACTAAGAGCCTGTCGTTTTCTGAGTATTGTATCTGTGTTTGCCTGCACTCTTTCCCTTCTGATTAACTCTCAGACACCACAGGGTTATACAGCAATGCCCGGTTGTCTGCCTAGGTAGGAAAGGTCACACTGAAGGCAGTAGTTGTATTTCCCTGTAAGATGTTAACCACTTTGTGTCTGACCTGTCCATCCTATTCTACACCGCCTTGTAGAAAATGCCTGCAGATACCCTTTCAGATGGACTTAGACTTTACTTGGTCATCTTACAGGGTTAGCAAGAACTGCTAACCAGTCAGTGGTGCTGCCTCTGTACCCTTCTTCCTCTACCATGCTTGCTGTGGCTAGCCGAAACCAAGTCATAAAACTCAAATGAAGCCAGATAGATAATGTTCAAGCTTTTCCCTTGTATGGTAACTATATGGCAATTTAAAGGTAGAAAATAGTCTGTCTGGAGTATGAGAAAGCCAATGTCATGAGGACCCTGTCCACTGTCCTCCAGGATCGAGAATGCTACAGGACATATGGTGGACTCAAGATGACATAAAAGGAAACACAGACATGGTGATGGATTATATGTGTGATGGATTCTGAAGTACCACAGACTAGGAAAGAGCAGGGCTATAATCCCAGCACTAGTGGAGAAAAGAGGATCTTGAGTTTGAGGTCAGCCTGGGCTACATCATAAGACTGTCTTGAAGTAAAAAGAAAACATAGAGTCACAGAGCAGGAAGAACCTTAGGGATTTCTTCGTTTAGACATCATGCCCCTGAAGCCTACCAACACAGCTTGGGCAGAGATGATGGGGATGTCACTGTCACCTGATCCAGTGGCCAGAAGAGTCCCATTGTTCTCAGAAAAATGTGTGTCTTGTTATTTTGGAAGGAAGTTTCAACTCTCTCTCAAGGCTGTTTCTTTTCCAGGCTAACCATTACTATTATTTTAGCTTAAGGATAGACTTGAGTCTCTCCACAAGCCTTGTAATAATAACTGCTTACACAGAATAGGCAACCATCATGGGCCAGCCTGAACCATGTAAAGGCTTCATGGGCAGCCATTGTGTAATCTGTGTAGCAACCCTACAGCATAGGTAATGCTCTAATCCCCATTTTATGGGGAATAAAATTGAAGCACATCTACCCAAGGTACTTGGCTAGTGAGTGGTATGGCTTCAACCCAGCAGTAAGTTTTGAAGTGATTAATTTTTATCTTATGTAGATGTGCACATGGGTACCTGTGAGGGCTTAAAGAGGGAACTGGACCTTCTGAAACTTATAGGCATTTGTGAGCAGCCCAGGTCCTCTGGAAGGGCAAATACTGTTAACCACTGAGCCATCTCTCCTATCCTCAAAGATTTATTTTTATTTTATAATTGTGTGTCTGTGTGGGGGTAAGTGAATGTGAGTATAGTTGTCTGTGGGGTCAGAGGGGCATGAGATCCCCTGGATCTGGAGTTATAGGCAATTATGAACCACCTGACATGGGTCTGGGAACTGAACTCGGGTCTTCTGCAAGAGCTGTTAGTGGCTGAGCCATCTTTCCAGCTCTCATATGCTTTTAAAAATATCTTATTACAGTTATTCCTCTCTCTCTCTCTCTCTCTCTCTCTCTCTCTCTCTCTCTCTCTCTCTCTCTCTGTGCGCTTGTGCATGCGTGTGTGTGTGTGTGTGTGTGTGTGTGTGTGTGTGTGTGTGTGTGTATGTGTGTCTTAGTGTACAAGTGAAGATCAGAAGACAACTTGCCAGAATGAATTCTCTTTTTCTCAGGGATTGAACTCAGGTTGCTTGGATTGGTGGCAAGTGCCTTTGTCCGTGGAACCATCTCCCTGGTTCTTAACCTCTAATTATTACCTCATATGTTTCCCTTCAGCCTTTGCAGGCTCCCTATTGGCTGTGATTCTCAGGGAAGGGCCTGTGAGGTTTGGCAGCAGAGGTCAGAAAGATTGTCATCTTGGACTTATCTATATTCCTTAGACAGCAATGTGAGGCCATTGCTCTCCTCTGAGGTAGTACAGTGTGTAGGTCACATGGAGACATGTTGCATCCCATCTGCACATGTGTGTCCATCTCTGGATTCTCCCTGTTCTGTGAAAGGTCTTGCTGAGAACTACCAGAGGGAGGGAACAATCTCATCAAAAATGCATGTTTCACATGTGGTTAGACAAAGTCTGTGGGGTACAGTGGGTCTGTGTGGCCTGCATCTATCCGCAGTCTCCTAAAAGTACCCTGAGCACCTTCTTTCTGAAGCCTCTCCATGATACATTTGAGGGCTGGAGGATTCGTTTGGGAATCCTTGGATGCCAGAATTCTTGACACCTCACCAATCACTCACTTCATGTCCTTGTGTTCATACTGCGTGGATACAGAAACTCAGGGCAGGGACACACAGCCGACTTCCAGGATAAGCTGGCCTCTCTGACTCCCTCAGGCCTATCCTCAACCAATTCCTGCCACAAGAGTCTACATAGTTTCCTTCTTTGGTAACCTGTGTCCTGAGTCTGGTGCCAAGCCTGCTGGACCCTGAAAGCATGAACCTGGAAGGAGAAGGCATCAGGCCTGATGCTTCCTGCAGAATTCAGGTGTATGAGCCCATGAAGAAGCTGATTTGTGAAGGCAGATCCCAGCATCCCTGGCAGGCACATCATAGACTCACAGCTTCCAGCCAAGTGCCTTGCAGAACAAAAGAACTAGAGATAAGCAGGTTGTCATAGCTAGCAGAGCTGGGTCGAGAGATGGCCAATCCAGCTTCATCACTTATAGATGGACAGACAGGTCCAGATGTAGCTAGTCAATTGGGGAGAGATCAGAACTGTCACTACCCATCGCTGTACTGACTGAAAGGACAAATGGGAAGCCCTCAGGGATGGCAGGCTTGACTAGGATGGTGATGGCATTACACACAAAGCTAGGAATTTACTGAACTGTTTAATTATATTTCAGATATTTTATCATAAAGTTATACCCCCCACAATGGAGTATAACAAACTAAGGGACCAGAAAGCATTAAAGTGACACTGAGAGACCCAGCCTAGGGCCAAGGCTCCTGATGTCCTCTGCATTGCTCTTTCCCTAATTCTCCTATATTTTCGCTGCCATAGCGACTTGCAGATGCTCCAGGAATTACCACTAGTGGGGCTGGGGAGGATAATGCCTGGCTCCCTGGGCCTGTGGTAGCAGTGGCACCTTTGATGATCTTGGTGTCCCTCCAGCATCCGACATAACACCTTTCCTTGAAGAGCAGCACAGCTCATAGACAAGTCTCTCGACTTGATGGTGCAGTGGCCTGACAGTCACCGCTCCTTCCCCCGCCCTCTCTGCGTCTCTCCCATGTCATTCATCTCTACCCTTGGTTTCTGCTGAGATGGCAAAGTCCATGAATCACACCCCCGACCTCAGCCTCTTTGCCATGAGGCATGTCCTAGCATTTCTTTCAAAAGGTGTCTTTTTGTGATTTTTTTCAGCAAGGATAGCCTTAGACTTCTCTAAATCTCTATGCTGAGTGAGGTCATAGGGGTGGAACCCCATCCTATAGGATTAGTGTTCTTGTGAGGCCAGACACCAGCACCTCATCCTATGAGGCCCTTCTCTCCATACCCTGTGAGTGCAGAAGGAAGGGAGGTCACCTGAAAGCTATGAAGCAAGCTACTACCAGCTGCCAAATTTGTCAGCATCTAGATCTTGAACTTCCTGGTCTCCAGAACCATGAGAAATGCATTTCTATTGCTTAAACTGTGGTATTTTGTTTGGGCCACCTGAGTAGATTATTACAGGTAATGTTCCTTAAAGGAAACATACACCAACCCTATGATTCAGCACTTCTCATAGGGCTCATAGGAATACTTCCTGATGAACAGCAGAGACTTCTGGGTTCAGGGACTCCGTGGCAGAATCCAGCTGTGCTTTCCCACATCAGACACTCACATGCACATCCTTGACACAGGGGTCCCCTGAAGACTCACCTGGGGTGTCATCCCATGGCAGATGTACACGATGGGGACGTTCTCTGTATCTGGCCCCTGATCAAGACACAAATCAGTCTTCAGGGAATTCTGTAGCTGAGCATCAGAGGAAACATGGCCACATCCAAGGGGAAAGATGGGAGAAAACACACGTATTAATTTAGGAAAGGTGAGTGTACTTCCCAACAGACTCAGCTTCTTCATCAATCCCAGGTCACCATCCACAACGGTATCAGCAGGCCCCAGCTGTTCCTCTGTACGGGTAAGGGTGGGGACTGACCCCCATTGCATGGGAAATCAGGACATCTCAACAGACAGTCAGCTGACTCAGAGGGTAAGAGCATCCAAGTAAAAACAAGACGTGCACAATGAGAAACACTAGGATCTCCTTTCTTCTTCTTTTCCAGGAGTGGAACAATGGCCTTCAAGAGTCCCCAGAGAGCCTTTGCTCTTGAGTCAGGGAAAGTGGGTAACAAGTTTGTTTGTTTTTAATCCTAGGAGGTTCTCTAGGACCTCTAGGTTCTGTGCCTCCTGCAGATCCATCAGGGGCTTGGCCAGTCCCCAAGGGTGGTCCAGCTGCTGAGAATTCCCCAGAGTAGAAAGCTTGGTGGGGGAATAAGAGAGAGGGGTCTGGTGGAAGCAAAAGAGATAAAAATCTTTTAATCTTGTAAGTGTATAAATCCAGTCTTATGAATCAGCAGGATATATCCCTGTAAGAGAGTCCATATTCAACGGCTCTCATGATCTAAGCCCACTCTGAGTCCTTGGAAAGGATAGCCTGTATGTCACAGGCCTTCTCACCAGCCACAACAGGGTAGACCATCAGGTACCAACCCACAGTCTATAACAAATGAATCATTCTCTCTCTTTCTATATCTTTCTAGAATGTGACCATACAATGGTTCTTTTATCCTGGATCTAAATGAGCACAGAGATGTGAGATAGGGTCAGTGGGTAGTAGCCACTAGAATTATGGGTAAATGAGATCGTGTCTCAGGAGGATCTGCTGTGGGGTATGTGTAAACTGAGAAAATCAGTCGTGACTACAGGGGGAGACAAAGTGCAGGGCTTTGAATCAGAAGGAAAAGATGCCACCTGCCCCTGCTTGGGCTTCCACAGCTTCCAGGATCTCTCTCTCACACACACACACAGAGCCAGTTTGCGTGCTCCTGAGAGAGCTCACAGTGTCTTCGCCCATGCTCAGCTTGAGCTAGTTTAATTGGGTTTCCCTTCTTTCAACACAAAGCACCCCCTTTTAGAATGAGAGACTGGAGAGGAGACTCCAGGGAGCCTTGGGCAGTGAACTCTGGGTGAGTCATCATTCAGGCAGGAGGTGAGAGCCAGGGAGAGGCTGGGCTTGTGCAGTCCAGACACCTCAGAGCAGGGGTGGGATGCACCCAGCTGAGGGGCATGACATTCAGCAGATAAGCAATGGCACAGCTGGGATTGAGGCACATCTGGTCTGCGTGTCAGACAAAAAAATGATGTCAGGTCCTCCTCAAGCGCCCTCTCCCTCGGCTCACTTACAGTAGTGTTGTCTCCCCCCGGCAGTTCAGAGGTTCTGATGAAATACATGTGAGTCTGTCTGTTCCTCAAGCAGAAGTCCTAGAAGCATCCAAGTGGGCAACCCTCTGTCATGTGCCCTGTGCCCACTGCTAGGCTTGCCTTTGTGGGAGGAGAATGTATAAATACCCTTGAACTTGTCTCATGGTTCATGGAGCGGCGGGTGTAGATCTAAATCCGTGACCCACTAGGAAGACCTGCTGGGTGCTAGAGCAGAGAGACTCACACATGCTGTTAGGCTTGGATTTGCCTAGGTCCTGAGCCATGGCCTCCGGGTGACAGGTGGGTGTCATTTGGTGCATTCCTCCCCTAGTAAGTGGGTGGTCTCTTAGGGCAGGAGAGACTGGCTGGGGCGCTGTGCTGATGCTGGCAGCAGGGTCCTGGACCAAGTAACTTCCCTGTCTGGTTTCCTCCCTTGAAAATAAGGATAATAATAGTGCCTGCTGCTCGGGGATGTTATGAAGATTAAATGAAATAATATCTGCAAGGGCTTAGCATGGGGCCTGGTAGCCGGCAGTGGGAATCATTAGCTTCTTCCATTACTGCTGTAACCTTCCTGAAAGCCATTCAGGAACACTAGCTGTGATGAATGCACTGACGTGCCAGGAGCCATGTGAAGTGCCTTCCAAATGAGTCACATCTAGATCTCAGAAGAAGCCACAGGCTGGAACGGTGGTGTAGCGGCAAGTGTCCCGCATCCCCTGGTCTGGGATTCTGTCTCCACGCCATGAGGACTTCCATCACCTCCACTTTCTGCTTTGGTGCTCCCTTTACCTGGCTACAGATTCCTTGTCTTCGCAGTTCAGCCTGCTTGCTACCCTGCGTGCCCAAGTCTTGGGGTGAGACCACTCACCCTATGCTTCCCCAACACTCTCATTTCTCTTTAAAAATTAGTTTTGTGTGTGTGTGTGTGTTTGTGTGTGTGTGTGTGTGTGTGTGTGTGTCTGTGTCTGTGAGTGGGTATGTGCACCTGAGTGTTGGTGTCCATGATGGCCAGATCTCTACAGGCACTTAGGAGCTGCCTGACATGGGTGCTGGGAACTGAACTGGGGTCCTCTTCAAGAGCAGCAAGCACTCTTAACTGCCAAGTCATCCATCTCTCCAGCTCACTCCCATGGATCTTACCGCAGCACTGGGCACATTGCTTTCTCGTTGCTCTTCACTTGCCTGCCTCCCCGTCCATCACCAATACTGGGTCTTATTCTTCCTCACTGAATGTGGCATGGACCAGGGTATGAAGCACATAACTGCGACTCGTTGTGTGTGCAGGAAATGAACAAATGAAGGGCACCATTGCTTTGTAAGTGACAGGGCCACAGTATGCCTGACATTGGAGGCCAAGCTTTTCCCACTATATGTGTGGTTATGAGCCTGAAACTATAAAATGTGCCCCTTGAAGTGGATTACTGTGACATTGAGGCTGTCACAATGTCAAAGTTGTACAGCAAGAAAGTGCCAAGTAAGTGTCCAGAAGCTGGGCATGTCTGATTCTAGCTGCCTCACCATCTCTCCTCTCAGTACCATACTTGGGATTCATCCAGAGCTACCCCATCTCTCAGACAGGGGGTGCTCAGGGGAAACCCATACAGTGCAGCCCACAGCTCCTTCAGCCTGAAGGAGCAGTAATGAGACCTATTAGTGGGTTAATAGCCTGGGCTATGGACTTGACACTGGCCCAATTGAGTGACCCAAACATTTATTTGACCTGAGTGATGTAGTTTGAACATGAATTGGAATGGAAAATAAAAGATTTAAAAAAACTGCTGCCCCTGCAAAGACATCTGGCCTCTGCATTTTAGAATAAAACTAATTACCAAGGAAGAACAATTCAGACCCAGCAAATGTTCTTGCTCCTGTGGCTGCATCCTGTGTGGCCTTCATTAAGAGTTCATGATGCTTCTGGACCAGCAAAACATGTCTCTGCTCCTGAAGGAGCCAGGCACTGACATTATATGGAGGAGACAGGGGAAGGAGAGGCTGGCTGGACCTTTCACAGTGGCTGGCACATGAACATTAAAAGGATAGTGACCTCTGACAGTCCTGAGGATGGCTAGAAAGCTCATCTCTGTGGGATGATGAGTGGGTGGATTTCGTTGTGAGAGTACAGACAGCCTGAGCTGGAGCCAGACAGATCTAGACACAGCCTAGTATCTGCCATTTACTATCTGGTCAGTCAAAATTTTCTGTCTCTGTCTTCAAGGGGCCCCAAGAGAAACCTACTGATACATGTATGTGGAAGATAAGACACTTTTACATGGAGAAAGAAAGGGCCTTTAGCTAAGACCCGGAAGTGCAATGGCTACATGCAGACATCCCCCAGTTACTGCTTCCTCTGCCACTCCTGGTGAGCGTGGCTAATCTCATTCAGCTTCAGCAACGGCCTGATGAGGATGTGAGTCTGGAAGCTAGTCCTGGCTCATGGAGGCTTTGTTCTAAAACTTTCTTTGGACCAAAAATATTCTCTTAGGACTGGATCTAACAGTGGCCAAGTGGCACATACAGTTTCTATGGAGCAGAGTGCAGGGCATCAGGAGAGCTCATCCTTTGGATGGTTCTGGTGATGTGGAAGGAACGGATGGATTCCATAAAGTGCAAAGTGCTTCTGTGATGGAGGATCTGGAATATCAGGTAGCGTCAGCTGAGGGGATGCTCTGACATCCCCCCAACCTGAGAAGTGGAAAGACAAGAGGCTGCCATTTTGGACTGTAAAACATGCATGGGTCTCTTATGGAAGATGTAATCCATCCCTACAAGATGACCTCCTAGACAACCATGATCTGGGGGTGGGGATCCCAGCTCTGTGTCATTTATAACCACTGGGTATTAGCGATAGAAGGATCAGGAACTAATTCTGAGTCCAACCTCTCAGTAAAGACTTCATACTCCCAGGCAGAGCTCCATCCATAATGTTCCCAGCTGGTGAAGCCCTTAATTCAGCTCTGATCATGGGGCACCAAAGAGGCCTCAGCTCTGCCTTCAAGTTTTCATCTTGGTATATCAAAAAAGGCAGGAGGGGCGCTCTCCAAAGCAAAGGACTGGGGTGATTCCAGCCAGTCTGTCAGGCTCTGTCAGAGACGAGTCAGTTTTTTGCCTGTTTCTTCATATGTAAAATGAATATAATGTAAGTAGCCCCACAGAGTAGAGTCCAGAGCTTAACTGTCATAGAAAAAATGATGTGTTCAGACTTTAACAGTCAGTAGAGGAGCTCCTCAGACAGCAGTCTTATACTTTGTAAAGCACTTTGAGAGTGGAGGGTCCTCATGGATTTCTCATGGTCAAAGTATTTTAACCTGACAGAGAAAACACATTCATATCTCTCAGGCTCACTTCTAGCCAGTGAGGGCAGTACTAACTTACCCCATTTAACAGCTGAAGAAACCAAAGCTCACAGTCCATAAGATGGAAAGAGATCAAGATCTCCTTCTACTCTGTATTTTTAATGGTGCTGGGGGTTGAACTCAGAGCCTCATCCTGAGGTCAAGATCTACCACACACACTGGAGCAAACAGCACCTCAACAAATAAACCTACAAAACCCTTCAGGCCATTCAGGACAGTCATGTTTCTCAGAACTCTTCCCAGGGAGGCTTCAAACCCGAATTCGGGACATCAGCCTGTGTCTGTGTGGGAGGCACACGGGCGTTTGAAGGAACCCCAGTCACCCCAGCTGGGGGTGCCTGTGGTGTCAGCTGTTTTACTTTGCAATCTGAAGCTAACCGCTTGCTTCTTTATGCATGTTGTTAGGGGGCTATGCAGATTTGGGGCCAGATGTGAACTGCTGAGGGCTGTAAAGGAGAGGCACAGTCCTCCCTCAGTGGGGCTGGAAAGGCTTGGGCTGGGAAATCAAAGCCTCTTGAAGGTCCGTCCACCACTGCTGAGCCCAAGTTTATCATAGCTTACCGTAGAGGTGACAGTGGCCTTATTCCCTCTCTTCTCTTCCCTCTTACTACCCCTCTCCAGTCTTGTTTTCTGTCTGTCTGCACCTGAATGGAACCCAAAGACCCATGTTCCTTACCACTCCGTAGGCGATGATGTCCGAGTACATCCTCATCTCCGGGTACACGCTGACCAGGTACCACCTGAAGGTTTTACACTGAAGCTGCTTCCTCAGAGCCTTCCGTGCGGTGATGTCCCCAATGTCAATCCCTGAGTCCTGTACAGGAAGCAGGGGCGGAGATGCAGCTCCCATAAGGCCTGCTCTATACGTACTTGCTGTGACCAAGTGCCTCCAGCCAAGAGCCACGGAGATTTCCTGGTGCAGGGACCCTGTGGGGAGCTAACTCAGGTTTTCCCAATGCAGCATTCACTCCATCCCCACCCCCATTTGGACTCTGAAATGTGAGGTCAGTATTAAAAGGGATTGCTATAGTAAAGTAAGGGGGCAGAATACTAGGCTTTGTGTGGCTGCTATTTCAGACTGGAGCACCAGCTTTGACAAGGAAGGGGCCACCATTAGATGTCTTGGAACAACCTCCATGTTTTCCTAAAGGTGTGAGTTTTCATGGGAAACCATTCTTTCTATACTTAGGACTATTTCTCTGCTTATGATCTAGTGAGATAGATAGATAGATAGATAGATAGATAGATAGATAGATAGATAGATAGATAGATAGATAGATAAATATATAGATATACATACATACATATGGTACAGATGGACACGGGAGCTGTATACATATATATATCCAGAGCCTCCAGAGCCAGCTCATTTAAATTTTTGGATACCGTGTGCCCCCCCACAACTTTCTGTTTATTAACTGAATTTTTGCTTTGTGTTTCAAAGGTTCAGTATGTCTGAACTGTGTTTTTCCCACCAGTTGCATCAAATCCTTTTCCTGGCAGTGAGCAATGATTAAGAACTATGTGGTTGTTTATAGACAAAGGCTCTTTGGCTTTTATTATTACAAGACAACAAATACTCCTTTCTCTTTTCATAACGTTTTAGCATAGCTGGCTGATCTTTCTCCTCCAAAATCCATGTCAAAGAAAACTTCCTGGAGTCCAATACACTTGAGATGAATCTAAAAGATGAAGTGAATTCTGGCTCCCTAAGTCATCATCTTGTGAGCCCGACAGGTTCTGTCACCTCCACAGACTTGCTGAATGAGTCTCTAGGGATGAGACCCAGAGGAGTATTTTCTGTAAGGTTTCCATGGGATTCCATGCAGCTGAACTATAGCATTGCTCTAGGAGCCACTGGCCAGGGGTAAAGAGACCACATACATGGCCAGGCTGTCCCACCCATTAATAAATATCAGCAAGGGTCCACTGAGCTCCCACCACCTGCCCTGCCTTGTGCTAGGTACTGTAACACAAACACGTACATAAACATGTCCTCAGGGGGCCCACAGTTCATCCTGGGAGTTCCCAGCTCTAGATGGACATTGAATTCTGTGCACTGCTTTCCAAAACCAGGTCCCAGGAGTCCTCACCCACACCAGTTCAAATGTAATCTCTAAGGCTAGTGCCAGATTTGAGAGTCACTTGTCTAATAAGATAGAGGTTGCAGACAATAGATCATTGTTTGACAGGCTAGCCAAGTGGTAACAGAGGCATGAAGGGGGAAGGACATTTCCTCAGCTGGGGTTGGCTTCCTGTATAAAGAGTCACAAGACTGATGTCTGTAAGGATGGAGATTTGGTAGGGATGGGAGTTGGGCACAAGGTGGAGGGCAGGTCACTCCAAGTAGAGAAAACAAATGAGCAAGCACAGGGTAGAGAAGCAGCAAGACCCACCCCCCAAATAAGGACTATGGGGGTGCACATGGAGGTACCCATAGAGAGGAGAGCTTAGGAAGCTCACATATATGTCAAACGTTGCACCTGCCCTTGCTTTGGTACGCCATGAAGAATCCTTCACAGATTTTGAAGAAAGGCAATGGATAAACCATTTGGATAGATTTGAAGGGGGAAAGATTTGAAGCAGGGCAATCGGTTGAAGTCCAGATGGGCAGGGCTGGAGCTCAGATGTGACTGGATATGAGGCTGGACAGAAAGGCTCTGTGATTCACAGAACAGGATAACAAGAGAGGAGGAAGAAAGGGCTATGAACACTGTCCAGCCAGGTATCTGGCAGATGGTAGCAGGAACTGAGACAGGCAATTAAGAACAGGAGCTGGCTTGGGTAGAAACGGACAGACTTAGCTGTGGTCACACTCAGCCTGAGTGCCAGGGAGGACAGCAGCAGGAGGTGTCCAGCTGGCTGCTGGAGATGCCAGTCCACCAGTAGGACTGGAGATATTCATTAGGAAGCTGTCAGCATATGGGTGTTATAATCACATCCAAGAGCAGAGGATATTACAGAGAGAGGCAGTAGAATGAGAGGTTGGTGAAGGCTATGTCTCCGGGGAGCATTTAACAACCGTAGAGGAAGGATGAACCCCTAAGGGAGAAAGAGGTGACCTCCCGAGAGAGGGGCTTATCCAATCCAAGAGCGTGGAACCAAAGAGCTTGGGGACCACAGAATCTCAAGGAAATAAGAAATCTGTAGGTTGAGAAAAGTTTTTTTTTTTTTTAACTTTACTTGTTTTGTCTTTTTAATTTTTTGTGTGTACACACTTGCAGGTGTGAGGGCGCACATAGAGGTCAGAAAAGGTTGTCGGGTCCCTCAGAGCTGGTATTACAGGTGTTTGGGGGACATCCAACGTGTAACACAGTACTGGTATCTGAACTCTAGTGCTCATCGATGCACCATCTCTCCAGCCCCAGGGAAAGGACTTTTCAATGTCCAGGAGATCCTGTAGTCTAGAGGCCTGCCCATGATAGCGTTGACAAAGGCAGACCTGATATTGGGATGTGCCTGGAGAAGTGGGTGGGAACTGGGAAAATCCCGACCCTGCAGAAGCTCAAGAGTCTTAAAGAAGGGAATTTGGGAGCCGAAGTGACAGTGGATGCAAGAGGAGGGTGTGCGTGCATGTGCACAGGTGTGGGGGGGTGGGGGAGGGGGAGAGGAGAGCTGGTTTGTGTGCGCGTGGGTACACATCAGAGGACAACCCCAGGTGTCATTCATTAGATGCCATCTACCTTCTTTTGTGAGACATTGTTCCTCACTGATCTGGAACGCAGCCTGTAAGTGAGGCTGGCTGGCCAGCAAGCCCTGGAGATGTGCTGGTCTCTTCCCCGGCACTGGGAAGATTATAAACATGTACCACCACACCCAGTTTTCTTTAGTGGGGTCTGGGGATCCATGCAGGTCCTTGTGCTTGCAAGGCATAGTTTACTGACTGAGCCATTTCCCCAGCCCAATAAAAACACACCAACCTTCCTTTCTCTACCTAAGAGAAAATTACGCCTGGACATCTCCGTATCTCACCTTGTTCTCTTCCCTCTCCTCCTCTCATTTGGTTGGTGCTAGGCCCTCAGAGGGGTCACAGGCAGACATTCATTTTCACTGAGTTTGGCTGTAATAGGGAAGGATGGCAGCTCTGTGGCTTTGTGGGGCATGAACAGGACTCTGGCCCTACACAGAACCTTAAGGGTATGGAACACCCACATGGGACTCAGCATCCTGAATGGGATACTAAGTTCTAACGCCCACAGCCTCATATGAATCTAGAAGCATGGAGGTCCCCCTGGAAATCCTCTTCTGCCAGGGTTTGGCTGACCTCCACTGAGGGGCTGGGCTCCTCCCCATTGATAGTGAGCTGACACAATTCAAGTCACTTTCCCTTATGGTGATGGACCAGTGATGTAGACAGTTGGTACAGTACTTGCCTAGCATGTACGAAGCCCTGGATTCCATCTGGGAAGAGAATTTGCTCAGTCTACTTTTTTAATAATTCAGCCAGAGCAGCGTGGGGTTGGTGGGAAGATCAGGGTACAGGGATTTCCCATGGAAACTTTAAACGAAGAAAGGTCATTTCGCTGTCAGAGAGAACTGAGCCTTCCTGAAGATCTGCCAAAGGGAAGGCCCAGGCTTGGGAGCAAGGAGAGAGGCCATGCAGTTAGCCAGGCTCGTCATGCAGAAGGCGGCACAGGCGATGAGCCCGGGCAGACAAGCGGGTAGGCAGGTTTGGAGTGCCACACCTGGCATCTGTTGGGTTCTCCCAACTCAGCATTTGAAAGTCGTTTCCACATGTCACATGCCAAGGCGAACAAAACTAGGAGAGAAATATTGCTTCTCCTCGGCAATATCTTAACGTAAGTGACTAGAAAGGGTCGAGGACAGTGGCAGGCAAGGATGAGCTCTATGAAGGTCAGAAGTGTCCATATAATTGTCTTCTCCAACAGAGCATCCCTGTGGGAATGTATCTCCTTTGTATCCATACGGCTCAAGAAACCCCACAGATGTATGGATTTTCCTTATTCTGTTTGGCTCAATGGAGAGGCTTGAATCCAGTCTACATAGAGATTAAAGTACCCTTTGTGATTCCACTGTCATTACTGTTGTATTTACATATTCATCATGATCCTAGAACCAGGAGACACTAGGGAAGCTGGGAGCAGGGAGGAAATTCAGAGCCATCTGCTCCAACTTTCTCTCTCTCTCTCTCTCTCTCTCTCTCTCTCTCTCTCTCTCTCTTTCTCTCAGATAAGATCTCATGTAGCCCAGGCTAGCCTCAAACTTACTATGTAGCCAAGGATGACCTTGAACTTTATAATTCTCCCGCCTCTACCTCCTGAGTGCTGGGATCACAGGCCTGAGCTACCATACCTGGTATGCAGTGCTGGGGACTGAACCAGGGCTTCATGCCTGCTAGGCCAGCATTGTACCAACTTGAGCTACACCCTGTTTTCTGACTTTCATTTAAAATGAAGCCACTGAAGTTCTGAGAGAACACATCCCCTTCCAAGCATGCTGATGGAGGTGGATAAGAAATGGCTTAGAGACTTTTGCCAGCATCTTCCTGTATATAGTAAGTAAAGGGTTAACAGTCTGACGTGGCCAATGAGACTCTGAATGTCCTTGGCAAGAAAAATGGAGTCTAGTGTTTTGTTTCATATTTTTTTTTCTCATCAAGCTTGAAATCCAGCCCCATCCCGGCTCCCTACCTCTTGGGGTATGTTCCATGCCATGTAGACATGGCTTTTGAATTCATCCATCCAGACTTCAGCCACCCTGAGGGCGTTTCTGCGGACATGAGCAGTGAGGTCCTCTGTGTAGGGCTTGTGGGCTCGCTCGATGTGGGCAATCCTGGAGCAGGGCAGCACCTCCACACTCCCACCGCACTGCCACACCTGCAAAGACAAGGGTGTGCCCATCAGTTCCTCTGTAAGGCAGGCTACAGGCCAGCATTCAACATAGAGAAACACAGCTCTCTCCACCTCCTCTCCACACACTGCCGTGCGGGTATGTGCTGGGTCTGATTTCTCCTTCTGCAGTAGGAATATTAAGTAATTAATTCGCAGCTTGGCTCTTATTGCCATGAGTTTATTTGCGAAGAGTTAATGTACTGTTTCCTTCCATCCATGAGCCCCATGTAGGCAGAGAGGCGAGATGTTGGAGATCAGGGAGTTGCGCTGTCCTTTCCCCATCCCTGGGTTAGCACCCCACACACACACACACACCTGCCACAATGGTCTGTATACCACTACATAACAGGAAGGGACTACTGGGGACTCCCAGCTCAGAAGTCCATCTTCAAATGGACCTTCAAGGATCTGGACAAAGGTCAATGACAGCTACTGAGAAAGAGCCATGTGCTTCTACTTCTGTCCCCTCTTCTGTGGGCTTTGGAGGGGAAGCACTCCAGACCTTTGGGGACAGTGGGGGTTATTTGCTCGGTATTGTCACTTGGCAGTATGGCAGGGAACCTTCATGTGTTTGACACTTGTCCACTAACAGCAATAAGTCCTGGTCCAGGATATGGCAGGAATTAGGTTTACTTAATTGGCTGTGTTGGTCAGGAAGACCTCTTCTCCCGCTGATCAGTGTCACGGTAAAGGATCCCCACAGCCATGGCCAATGGAAGGTAATTTGCTGATTCGTTCCTTAGTATACTATTCAGGGTCAATAAAAGGCGACAAGAATTCCTACTGAGTGACAGCTATGTTCCAGGCCTGGGGTGTGCACTGGGGGCAGGGTGGTGCCGGGGAGTGAGCAGTTAAACACGGTGCTGTCCACTGAGGGTTTGCAGCCAGGCTGCCTTGGTCCAGCTCCTGGTTCTGCTTCATACTGGCTGTGTGACTCTGAGCAGTCACCCTGACTCATTTGTGCCTACATTCCTGTCTCCAGCACCAATAGCACCAATCTCATGAGGTACTGAAGAGGATTAAATTGATCGCACACAATGCACAGGTACAGTATACGCCCTTAGTCAAGCCTGTCCACAACCATACAAATCACATGGAGAATCCTCAGAATAACCTACGAGGTCACTGCTGTCACCTCCAACTTCAGGTAGAACCAAACTGAAAAAGGTCCATTGTCCAAAGGCACACAGCTGGTATTTACAACACTGAGAGACCTGTCTGATTCCCAAAGAAGCCGAAGGCAGAGCTGGTGTCAGGGGTGATCGTGTTTTAAGAGCAGTTAGTATCTCCCGGAGTTGACTCTGAGGGCCAGGAGAGGGAACACGACAGTCTCTGGGCTGTACCACTTCCTGCTACGACTGACCCATCCTAGAGACAGTGCAATTTCAGGGCACTTTGCCCTGATAGCCTGTGAATCCTGTGACTGCATTATTGACAACACTTTGTGCCAGAGTCAATTTTTTTTTCCTGTGGCTGGAACAAGGCTGCTACTTGACATATTTCACCAATGCAAACCAGGACATCACTCACAGGAGTGCTCCATTATGGGTCCTGCTTCTCAGAGTCAACTTGCCATTTACCCTTAAGGGTGTGTGTGCCTGCCAGCATAACCAGAGCCATATTGGTGGCACCTCTCACTGTATTCCCCACCTTAAATGGTGCTCCCCAACACAGTGGATATGGTGAGTACACTGAGCACTTCTTCATCCAACATTAATTCTTCTTTTATCAGATAGACTTCAGCACATGCAATGAGGTTTTCCACCCCATCCAGCTCCCCAAACTCAGTGTCCAGGGATAGGTTCACTGTCATTTTCCCACATTCTGCTTTGTGGTTCCATCTCCTCCCCCTCCCACCAACTGCTCGTTTAACCATCTCTCTTCTTTCAAAATGTTGTTTACGCCCCTCATCAGATTCTCCTTCTGACATACACTCCTAGGTGGCTCTCCGAGTAGACCATGGGTTCCCAGGACAAGGTGAGACAGTTGCAGGCTGGGAGCTGAGTGTCCCATTCAATAGCACACCTTTGGTGGCAGTGAGAATGGGATTCTGAACGTGACCTCTGCAAGCAGCTGCTATACACTTTGGCAGGTTGCATCCCCTCCTGAACCCCCATTCCACCCAGTGGAAGGGAGTGATGCAGCATGGGGGTGCTCAGCCCTGTGCCTGCCGTGTTATGAAAACTACATTGGAAAGTGACGAAGGAAATGAAGGAATCAGGCACAAGGGTAGGAGGTCTCAGCCGATTTCTGCCCCACCATGGGGCCACAGGAATGGTACCTTTGGGCTAAATTTTTTTTTAAATTTTTAAAAATTTTTAAATTTGTTGTTATTTGCACACTCACTTTTGATGAGTAAATTGGCCGCTGAGGTCAGGTTACCACCCCAGCAGAGGGTGCAAGGCTTGCTCCTCAGAGACTGGGAGTCCTTGTTTACTCAGGGGACCCACAGTCTCTTCCCTTCTGTTGAGCCTGTCCACGGAGGGACAACACTCACCATAGGTGCAGCCTGTGAGCTCTTGGCAGCATCTGGTCTTTGCAGTAGAAAGTATACATTTGGCCTGTATATACGTTAACTTTTGGACCTTGCCAATGACACTGAAGTCAACTAGAAAAGGCTTGTGCTTATCTGTTTCTGGGTGACAAATGGCTGTGCTGACCCAAGAGAGCCTTTGAAGTCTTATCCACAGATGACCTCAGATCTCCTCTCTGGGACGCTGGGCAGGGTTAGGAAAAGGAATCACTAGTATTTGAGGCTGGGTGAAAGGTGATGTCAGGAAGCTTCCGTGGGGTGGGGGACAGAGGGTGAGGAAATAAAAGAGAGCTGGCCTCAGCACAGGAAATGCCTAATGCCCCATGGCAAGTCACAAGCCAGTTGGAGGGTAAATGCAGAAAGGATTGGTTCATAGAAACAGGGCCACTGGAGAAAAGGTGAGTTCCAGGGATGGGGACTCCATGAGGAGAGGGGAAGGGAGGTGTGTACCAAAGGGGTGACTGAGAAAAATAGACCAAGAGGTCACAGGTAACAGGCAAGCAAGAGTCACATGCTAAGGTGAGGAGGTGTAATAAGTCTACAAATACTGGGGACACCAGGCAACATGCAAACCCCAGGCTGGGTCCCATCTTCTCTGATGGCCATTGAGAAAAATGATCCTAGACCAGACCAAGTCCCCTCCAGCCTCTGCCTTCATAGTCTTGCTAACCTAGGATAATTGTTGGCCAACTCAGCAATTTCTTGGACTCACCATTAGTAAATCAGATCATCTTGGAACACCTTTAGTGTCCACATTCCTTAATAAAACATTCATATTTTTCATTATATACTTATTCTTTAAATATCTGTCTCCCAGGATTGAACTGTAACCTTCACAAAATCAAGGATATGCCTGTGTGTTTTCCACTGTATATACCAGGCCTGCTTCTTGGTATTTATGCAATAACTGTTATGTGAATAAGTGAGTTGGAGGGTCCTGGGCTTTCACTGACTATAGAGACACATTTTAACTAGCTCAGCTTGATGCCCTAATAAAGGCCATAAACATAAAATGTGGCCAGATTTTACTGAACACAGTGACTTCCTTCAAACCCAGGTGGTTTTTCAGCAAATTGCTGACATTAACGTGCAAAATACTGCCACCAAAGAGACTTACTTTGACTGCAGAGCTGAAATTAATGTTGTAAAACCTGGGAAGTCATCAAATGCATGTGGACAAAAGCAGGCAGCTTTTTCTTGTGGAACTGGGTACTCATGGCTGAGTCTCCCAACCTCATAGACGCTTGGCTATGCCTCCAGAGGGCTGCTGGCTCTGATCTCCAAATGTGATCAAGAATCTAAGGCAGAGCGTGAATAACAGCTTCGCAGGACAAAGTCAAGACCCCTCACTGCCAGCCCTTCCTGGAAAGCCCTGATTCTGTTAACCATCTCTGAAAAGGCTTCAGAAATCAGTGCAGGACTACAAAGAAGCACAGGTTTCTAGAGGCTGGAGTGAGAGGGTACAAATCCTGACTCTGCCACAGAATAAGCCACTGAGTTGTACTTGTCTATGGATGCCAGTTGCTTTTTTACTGGGAATAATGGTTACCTGGGGATCTAAGTGAGATTCAATGTGAACACTGCTCACTAGCAAAGCCAGCCCTGCCGAGGGTTCTCAGGAAAGGTTAAGTCTCTCTCTCTCTCTCTCCAAGACAAAAGTTACTGGTACAAAGTCAGGGTGAGGCCCCTGCCATGTCCATCATCAAGATTCCTGTACTAATTGTGACTTTCATCAAGCTATCAAATGGGATTGACAAACTCTATGACTCTTTAGATCCCTTCCACTCTTACTTTGATAATCTGGGTTTCATAGCTCGTATCTCAAATGATGACTGGGTCTTGAGACACAACTTACAAAGGCATAACCTGAGTCACAGTTGGGAGACACTGAGGCAGGACAACAAGATAATTTCATGTGCTTTTATGTTCAATCCATTTGCTTTAATGCCATCAGTTGAGAAGGAGAGTCTCTCTCTCTCTCTCTCTCTCTCTCTCTCTCTCTCTCTCTGTAGGTACATGTGTCCATTTTGCTTGTGTCTGTGTGTTTGTGTATACATGCATGTGTATGCATTTATGTAGGAATATGCATGTGTGTGTCAATGTGTGTGTGTGTGTATGAGTGCCTTTGTATTTGTGTATATGTACAGGTGCATGCATGTATACATGTCTATGTGTGTGTCTATGTGTAGGTGTATGTATGTATATAAGTGTATGTAGATGTCAGAAATCAACCAAGGTATTGTTTCTCAGGCACTGTCCATCCTGTTTTATGACATACAGTCTATCACTTGGACCTTGGGCTCACTGATTCGCCTAACCTGGGATTACAAGTACATGCCACCACTTATTTTTTTAAGCCTGGGTTCTGGAGATTACACTCAGGTCCTCATCTTCAAAATGAAAGCACTTTACTGACTGAGCTGTTGTCTCAGTCCAGCCCTACTGAGAAGGA